TTGGATCTATAAGTAACTCTTCAAAACTTAAAGACTCAGTAGATTAGGCAGCGGATAGCTAACAAGAGCAAGAAGCCAACGCAACGATACCCGAGTCTAGTACACCCGCAAGGAAAAGGACATGAGTCCTCTGACAAAACTATGCTGTGGCATAATGACCATAATATACATGTAGAAATGTAACCTAGTACCTATAATAAATCCCCAACTTAAATCACAGTAGGTAGAAAGGAAACTTTAACCCGTAAGAAAAATGGAAAGCAACATCAAAGAAATTCTCATTAAAAAATTCTAGAAAAGATGTGACCCTTCCCTTGAATAGCTCACAAAGAGGTATGGCCCTCCCCTTTTGGTACTCATTTTCAATGATGACCGTCCCCTCTAAGGCCCTCGCCCTCCTTACCCCCAAGAAAAAAACGTACCTTCTCTAAGGACTTTTCATACAGAATTGAAACCATTTTTACTCATGTGCTCTTGTTAAATGCAAATCCAATAGGTAAAATAGTTTATAATTTATGCTTTGTGTATCAAGTTTCAAATGAGATTTACATGCACTGGTATGGACTTCTGACTGTCCCAAACTAACTTCTAATACCAAGTAATACATGACGAGATTCATACGACTTTGAAATTCACCACAGGGAGGAAGTTTCAATTTCCGGTGTCCTTGTAAAAACCTAATTAGGATTCAATTAATAGCCTCTAATCTGTCATGACTTGTGTACTTTGCGTCACTGATGGAAGACGAGTTAAGACGAAAGACAGACTATTTGTATCACAATGCAATCTCGCGTGAATTTTCAAAGCTGGCATGAAAGTGGCGCGCTCGTCGAGAAAAGCATCTTCACTCTTTGGACCCTCGCTTGCCAAACGAAGGTAATCTCGTACGCTGTATCAGTGACCAAATGGTTTTACCGACAGATATAATTCATGGCAGGTCAAAATTTTATGCTTTTTATGTAGCGATGATGTTTGGAAGTAGCAGAGCCGATTATTTATAACTATTTATGATTTGGTTGATAGTACAGATAGTACTGGCGCTAGAGTCAACCCATCCAGGTTTGGTTTTTCAAACACGAAAGATCATGTTGTCGTTTCAATCTTAGCACGAACCTTTAACATGCGCCGATGAAATGCAGACGAAAGCAGGTTTAAAGCGATCAAAGAAGGACTAAATTCCTTCCAGCAACTAGAAAATATAGCGGGAAGCGGTCAGAGAAGTCAGAGGAAGCGTTTCGTTGTGCAGAGAAGATCTAGAAAAGGTACTTGGTCGTGGATTACTGAATTGGGGAAATCAAAATGTGGGATTCATTCGAGAAGCAATATCGTATGATTTCCCGACAGTGGCAGATGACCGTCGAGTCAGAAACTCGGGCTCGTTGATTATGTAAGCTTAAATGATTTTTATTAAGGGTCGCTGACTGTATTTAGCCCGACCGGTGATGCTCTTCAGCCTTTCTCAATTTTCTAAACATCGGGCGAAGCTTGGTAAGTCTATTTTGGGTTCTTTTGTATCATCTTCAAATGGATACCTATTATCATTTTTGCGCAAAAATGTTTTAAGGTCGACACTGATCACTCGATCATTTTATAAATTCTCAATAACTGCTAATTGTTCATGGAGAATGTTGATGGAGATCACCATTTAAGCCTGATCGCAAACAGTTAAGTGTTATCAACTGTCGGTAAAAGTGAGTAAAATTTCATAAACCAAAAATTGATTTACAGAATAAAGCTTTATTTAATTTTTCACCGATTAGATCTGTGAAGTTAATTGTTTTAAGGGTATGAGGACTGTAACCAAATGAACGAGAGATCTTTAGTAAACAATTAGTAATTGCACTTTTGAGCTTTGGACAAACTCAGGTGGTTGCTAGTTTGAGGTTTGATGTTTAGACTATCTTGTTTGTGTTTTTGCAGTGACTCGAAACTCAGTTTGAAATGCCTGTATTTGTTGTTGTTGTAACGTTTTTTTAATGTTTTCTGATGAGGATTTTGTGCTGGTTCAATGTGGCCAATTGAAATCGAGTTCTTTTTTCTTACGGCCACGATTCAAAGGTACTTGAAGTTATTCATAACTTGTGATCAATAATAGATGGTATAATTTTAAGAACTCCCTTGAGTGCATTTTAGTGTAGTTGAGAGAAGATGGTGATGACCGGCCTTTAATTTTACAAACAAAACTAATCCTAAAGGAAACATTGATGGTGCTTGTCCAGCATTTAGTAAAACAGTATTACTAAACGCGCTTTCAGATATTGTTTGAATCCATATCTAGCATTAAGTAAAGCTAATCAAAACAGTTTGGCCTTCCTGGTGCAACAGAGCAGGTTAGCCTTTTTAGGCTGTGGCTCTGTGAGAATTTTATTCTCCAGGTGTTTCAGAGGGAACTTAAAAACGAGCTTTTCACATATTGTTTGAATCCCCGTCTAGCATTAAGTAAAACAGTTTAGCCTTCCTGATGCAACAGAGCAGCTTAGACTTTTTAGGCTGTGGCTCTGTGAGAATTTTATTCTCCGGGTGTCTCAGAGGGAACTAAAAACGCGCTTTTCAGCAGATATTGTTTGGATCTCTGTCCAGCATTAAGAAAAAAACGTTTGACCTTTCTGACACAACAGAGCAGCATAGCCTTTTTAGGCTGCGGCTCTGTGAGAATTTCATTCTCCGGGTGTCTCAGCGAGAACTAAAAACGCGCTTTTCAAACATTGTTTGAATCCCCGTCTAACATCAAGTAAAATAGTTTGGCCTTCCTGATGCAACAGAGCAGCTTAGCCTTTTTAGGCTGTGGCTCTGTGAGAATTTTATTCTCCAGGTGTCTCAGAGGGAAATGAGCTTTATTTTTAAGACATTGTTTAAGCATTTAGTTCCCAGTTTTGTATCCCGTTGCTCAAGTGCTCTTTCAAATATTGCAAGTGTTTCGCTTACATTTGAATTTAACCCCGTCCAGATCCAGTGAGGCCTTTAAAACGGCGCGTCAATTTTAAAAGTTTTTGCAGTGTTGCATAAGGCAGTTTCCGTTTAACGGTTAGTGTCAGTTCTGGCCTTGAATGAAGATTCCAAAAAAAGCCTTGCGTTTACATAAAATTATAGGGAGATCTTGTAAGCATGAATTAAAATATATGAAATGCACATGAAGGTATGAAAGTGAATATGATCATCGCATTAAATTCGCAGCCAATTCCGTTGAAAAATAATTTGAAAAATTTTGTAGCGTTATCACAGAAAGTTAGAAGTAATATTATTCATTGTTGGGGAAAATACTCCGCGGCTTTAAATTAATAATTTCCACAATGTTTTAATTCTGGTAGTGTAGTAACCTTTTCGTTAAGGCAGCTTCTAAAGTGCACTCGAGAAAACTGCACAGTCTCCATGAACTCTCACTTTAACTTGCAACAGAAGAAAAAAGAAAATAGAGTGACATTACTTTCAAACCATTACGGGCTACCTTAGGCCACGGTTTAAGAAATCTCCGGACCTCCAGGCCTCTTTCTTGGTAGGTTAATTTAAGAAAATAAGTGCTTTTCTAGTCTGCCTTATATGCTTTATTGAAATTATTCAAGATAAATGGGGTTTGATAAAAGCGTTGGGCAAACTGAAAATGGCTTAATTATAACGCGATTTTGTAATATAAATAACTGGCCCTTAGTGTTTAATAAATACAAGTCAACAAAATATACAATGGAAAATTTCCCCGCAAGAAGTGCGGAAAATCACTCTTCTCGAAGTACAATAAATTTTAAGAGGCCACAAAGGCAAATGCATTCCAGTTCAGCAGAAAGACTTCTAATGCGGCTAATTTGTAATTGAGTTTGAACCGAAATCTCGTTGACGTACAGGAATTGAGTTGATGTGAGAATTTGTCACCTCCAAGCAAATGAGCCATAAAAAGTTGATTACTTCTTCAGAGCTCCCCTGCTGATGTTTGCCTATTCAATAGGCGAACATCAGCAGGGGGTCCACAATTTCAGACCTCTATGAATCTCGTCATGATACTAGTAATAGTTGACACTACAGATGCCCCCGTTTTGTACATTGTCGCTCAATAGTATTCTTGCTCGTTGTGTAGCTCTTTGAAATATACCGATTCATAATGAAGATTTTCACACATATTCCACACAATAGGTGAGATAATAAAATACAGCAAACGCAAGGTTCCATGCACAGTTTCAGCTCGATTTACGCAGCTTTGATCAAACTTCACAGTTTCGAGAATAGTTTATTCTAAACCATAAGAAAAGATTTAATTAAAAGTTGAATTTTTCGCTATTTCTCTCTCACTTTTTACATTCAGTTCATTTTATTTGCCGGAAAGTAAACCTTAGAAATTAAAAAGACGTTTGATCGATTCACGCTCGAGCATTCTGGTCTTATTTGAAACTTTATATTGCAAGGACATCTCTGAGCAGGGAATAAGTCAGCACAGAACTTGATTGTCGGCGAATTTCTGTAATTGTCCATTGTTCTTCTAGTGATAAGCTAGCCGTTCTTCACTCGTCTTGCTTGTTTGGGCCTGAGTCTTATTGTGGTCAAAGAGAGAGAAAGAGTGTCTGGCAAGGTTTCCAATATAAATCAATGATTTGTGAACTTGTGTCTGGCAAACTCTCCAAGTGTTTATATTGTAACACCACGATTCCCAGTTAAAACACGGCGTTAAGAGAACAACACATGTTTAATCTCCTATTCAGCTAGTCCCACAATCATTTCTTCGCACATGGTTATTATGCCATGTCACGTGACTTACTTAGAGGGGTACCCTCGGGGTTTGCCTCGCGCCACACTACTCCCCCCCTACTTAAGCACTGTCCCAGTGCTGGTCCACTATTTCACATATCGTTTCCGAAAACAACTTCAATTCAACGCAACAGATCAAGTCTCAAATGTTTGTTCATTAACGTGCCAAGCGTCTACAGTTCTTAGGTAATGAAAGGCATTAACTTATACTTGTCTAGTTGCCTAGACTGTCCTATAATGCTAATCAGTCCTTGAACATTTCAGGTTAATCAGTCACCCAAGTTCCGAATCGATGGCTTTCGCTGCCTTAATGGTCTCCCACGAACACTTGAAACAATCCCAGGTAAACCTTGTACAGTCGACTCAGCTGTTTGACAGCTGACACCTGCCTGGTTGAGGTCATGTGCAACAGAGGTTGTCAATTTCGCACGAGGCTCAGGTTTCCTCACATCCTCAGGCTTGTCACCGTTATCATCCCCAATGAAATCAGCATTCTGGAGTCTCGAGGAAACATCATCCTGGCCTGCTTCTGTAGATTCTGTTTCGTCACATTCAACTCTTGCGTTAACCGGAGCTGATTGTCCCTCGTGGACGCAATTTGAATCCACAACCGATGTCTGTCTCCCCTCTTCTCTTGGGCTCGATAACTGCATCTGCCTTTTCGGAATCCATCTCTCCAGTGGGGGTCGAGGTAAGGCTTTAATCTGTCCGAGTGAACGACCTTAGGCTTGGCCTTTCGGCTCTTCTGAATACGGTACACCACATCCTTCCCAAGGACAGTCAAGTTTGGCGTTTCTCCCCTTCTTCCTCCGAACGTTATGCAGACAAACAGAATCACCGATAACAAACGGTCTACCGGAAAGCTGTTTGTCGTAGTTCCGCTTCTGCCGTACAGCTGCCTTGTTCAAATGACGCCTGGCCAAATCGTGTGCACTAGCCAATCTCTTTTGAACAGCTTGTGCATAGTCAGTCTTGACTGGTGATGCATCAGGTGGTCTCTCAGTTATGACATCCAGAGGAACCTCCAGTTCCCTACCCAACATCATGAGGTTAGGTGAAACCCCGGCTGACTCATGAACAGCACCTTGATAGGCCATCATGCGAGTTGGAAGTTGTAGATCCCAGTCTGTCTGGTCTTGTTGGATCTTCCCACGTAACATTTCAATTAGGGTCCTGTTAAAACGCTCCACCTGTCCGTCAGACTCGGGATGCAGTGGAGTGGTGCGGGTCTTCTCAATGTCTAACAGCCTGCAGACTTCAGCAAACACCTTTGACTCAAAGTTAGTTCCTTTGGTTGCTATGAAGCTGACGGGGTACACCGAAGCAACAAATGAACTCGCTCACAAGCTTCTCTGCAACAGTGGTGGCCTCATGGTTGGGTATTGGATAACTCTCAGTCCATTTAGTGAAATAGTCACTAACCACGAGTATAAACTTGTTCTTTCGCGGGGTTTCTGGCAGTGGGCAAAGAAGGTCAAGGGCGATTTGTTCCATGGTAGCTCCCACCACGTACTGCTTCAACGGAGCACAACATTTACGTCCCCAGGTTTTCTTAGACCCACAGACATGGCACCTGACGACAAATCTGTGAACTGCTGAAGTAAGTCCTGGCCAGTAATAACGAGATTGAAGAGCGCCTAGGGTCTTCCGTATACTGCGATGGCTTGCAGTCGTATGACTATGATGAGCTTCAAGGGCCGCCTGTCGAAGACTCTTGGGAAGAATGACCTGGTCAATAATCTGCTCACCTCGGTCACTTTCCCATTTGCGGCAAAGAACACGATTTCTGAAGACCAGTAGGTCCCACTGTGACCACAAGGTCTTCACAGCACAACTCTGAGGCGACACATCTTCCCACAATGGTTTTTCTTTGCCAGCTTCCTTCCAACCAATAATAACCTTGAGATCAAAGTCAGCTTCCTGTTGTTCCCTCAAGAAAGGTTGGTTCTAACTTGACAGTGGCACAACAAGCACCAACAGGTTTTTCACAATTCAAAGGTTGTTCGTTGTCCTGGCAAGGGACATGCATGACAGTCTGAACACCCACATCAACAAATAACGTTCGCTCCTGTGACTTCCAACCCTTACACCACTTACAACGGACATCACAAGGTCTACAGGAAAGTGCATCAGCATTCAGATGTCACTGTCCTGGTCAATACTGATCTCGAAGTCGAAAGTACTCAAGTAATCAATCCGACGTGCAAGCTGTCCCTCGGGATCTTTGGCCTGGACAACAAAACGCGAAGGGGCATGATGAGTTCGAATCTTGTACCTTGTAGGTAATGCCGGTGTTGCTTAACTGACTCAACGATTGCCACGATCTCACAACGGGTCACACAATAGTTCCTTTCAGACTTGGACAATGTCCGACTTGCAAACGCAATGGGTTTTTCCACCCTGTCCTGAAACTGTGACAACACTGCCCCAATGCCATGGTCTGACGCATCGGTGTCTAGCAAAAACTTTCCCTCCCTAGTAGGGTAGGCTAGGACTCTACTGGACGTTAGTAAACCCTTCAGGCTGTCAAAAGCCAGCTGACATTGCTCTGTCCAAGCAAATTCTGCCTTGGCTTCCGTTAGCTTGTACAACGGCTTAACTATGGTCGAGAAATCAGGGATGAATCAGCGGTAATAAGAGGCAAGTCCAAGGAATCTTTTGACCTCCGTGCTGATTTCTCGGGTGGGCCAGGTGCGAACTTGCTCAACCTTTTCAGGCTCTGCAGCAATGCCTTCGTCCGTGACCACACGTCCGAGGTACAAAACACATTTCTGGAAGAGAAAACACTTATTTGGCTTAAGTTTTAGTCCTGCCCTGGCTAGTCGCTCGAACACCTCTTTCAACCGCTCTAATTCTTCTTCAAATGTGTGTCCCATAACTATCACATCATTAAGATAGATCAAACAAATCTTTGAATGTAGGCCCTTCAAAACAAGTTCCATCAATCTGGCAAAGGTGTTGGGTGCGTTGCACAGGCCGAAAGGCATCACGGTCCACTCATACAGGCCGCTAAAAGTTACGAATGCTGCCATCTCCTGGGTGCCCGCATCCATTGCCACTTGCCAATAACCTGAGGCAAGATCCAAAGTTCAGAACCACTCAAAGCAGCAAGAGAATCATCAACCCGAGGCAAGGGGAAGGCATCCTTTACTGTCACTGTGTTAAGCCGGCAGTAGTCCACACACAGCCTTTGGCTACCGTCCTTTTTGGTTGCTAGCACAACAGGGGACTGGACGATTCCTTCACCTTGTCCTGCTAGAGGAGGTTAGTGACTAGTCGTTCTATCTCATCATGTTTCACCATAAGTTTTCGCTTGTTGACCATTAGCAAAAGCAATGGCAGAATTTTCTGAACTCAAACTGAACTTAACGCTAGCAGGTAAAGAATTATAAACCTCGAACGACAAAACTGAATGTGCGGCACCAGTGTCTATCAACCACATGACACGAGATCCTCCAAGAAAGCCTGGCAAGCAAAGGCCTCGTACCTTTTCATTAACATGTGACCGTTCCATGGGTGTATCAGGACATGTCATTTCGTGGTTTGGCAATTGATGAGAGAATGCATTGTTCACATCATTACCACTTGCGGGGCCAACATCACTCGCATTTAGGCATCCCCCTGGCCCGAGGGCGACACCTTGTGGGCGTTTTGCAAGCCCAGGGTGGCTCGGTCAAGTGACTTGTACTTTGGGCAGTTACGACGATAATGGCCAAATTCTTTGCAATTCCAGCACTGAACATTGCGGTTGGAGTGACGTGAAGGAGGTAATCGCAGTTGGCTACCAGAGGTGTTCAAAGAGAGTGACTAGGAGAGCTGTTGTATCTGCTCAACTAACTGTTGCATAGCAACTTGCTGAGTCTCCTGACGTTGTTGTTGCACTCGAATGTCAGAACGTAACATATCCAGCTGAGCTATAAGCAAATCAGGCTCTTTATCAGCTTCATCCACAGAGCGAACCTGAAGAGGGCTTCTCCGCTCATCTCCATCCATCCACGAGACGAAATGCCTCAAGTTCAGAAGCCAGCGACAGGGTGTCATCTACTGTTTCAGCGAATTTGGAAACAAAAGGCTGTTGCTCTTGACCAACATGTTATCAAGTCAATGATCTTAACATGTGCAAACCAACAATAAAGACAATGTGTCTGTGAGCTCCAACACTTAACATCTGGAGCTGTTGTGAAAGGAAAGGTGTGTTTGCTCACTCTGTTTCTCGAGTAACAAAGTTATTTTCAAACTATAGCCTGAAAATCAAATTCCCACCGCGGTTGTAATTGTTCTTCCTAGTTGACTGGTCTTTTTTCGCTAGTGATTCTGTTTGGTCACTCCCACTTTTGGTCATTGTGTATACTGACTGATGATGGCATTTCTGATGGGCAATATGAGCATGCTCAACAAGTATGGAGTACTTTTAATTTACAAAATATGGGAGAGTACCATGATCTGTATCTGAACGTCGACTATAAAATAGCAACCAAATCTATAGCCCATAGAATCGCTAAAGTCCTCCCCAAATTAATAAACGACGACCAAACTGGCTATGTCAAGGGCCGCTATGTAGGACAGAACATTAGACTCATTAACGATATCATGAAGATAACTGAGCTAGAAAACACTCCCGGCATGGCGATTTTTGTGGACTTTAAATAAAAAAGCTTTTGACACCGTCGACTGGAACTTCCTTTTTAAGACCTTGGAGGCATTAAATTTCGGCCCTCAGTTACTACAGTGGATCCGAACCTTTTACACTGACTGTTCTAGCTGTGTAGTAAAATTAATAATGGTTACGCCTCTGTCTTCTTTAAACTACAAAGAGGTGTTCGCCAAGGGTGCCCTCTTTCCGGCTCCCTATTTGTGCTGTGCGCTGAAATTCTTGCTAATGCAATAAGGTCTAATGCAAATGTTCAAGGAATCAACATATATGGAAAGGAATTCAAAATTTCACAATACGCAGATGATACCACTGTTTTTGTCTCTGATATAACATCTGCCCAAAACCTCTTCCAACTGTTCCACGCTTTTCAAAAATGCTCTGGTCTTGAAGTAAACAGAAGCAAGACAGAGGGCTTGTGGCTAGGCGCGAACAAAAACAACCCGGAAGAACCTAGTGATATTGATTGGCCGAAAGATCCTGTATTTGCACTTGGTATTCACTTCTCTTATGATGACGAAGCTGCTTTCAAAAGGAACTTTGAACAGAAACTGTCCTCGATGGCTTCCTTGCTAAACTTGTGGTACCCTAGGAACTTAACTTTACATGGTCGAATTGTCATTTTAAAAGCATTAGCCCTCTCCAAACTTATTTATAACACTGCTGTCCTCACTGTCACCCCCACATTTATTCAAAAAGTTAATAAAGCTATTACTCAATTCGTCTGGCAAAAGAAAAAACCAAAAATAAAACAAACTACCCTAATTGGCCCTAAAGAAAAAGGTGGTCTCTCACTGCCTGATTTTGACGTAATTAACAATGCTCTCAAAGCAACTTGGATCAGAAGACTAGACAGCTGTCATCCCACCGCGAGTTGGACTCACATTCCTGTTTCCCTGCTAGAGCGAGTTGGTGGTCTCTTTCTCCTTAAATGTAACTTTGAACTTAAACATCTTAACATACACATTCCATTGATCTTTTACAAGAAAGCCTTGTTGGCCT